GGGGTGGGGCCGGCGGGGCGGGGAGCCCATGTGCCGCCCCGTCCCGTCCTGCCCACTGCTGGGGGTACTGGAGGGCTGTCCTGCTTCCCCTACGCAGCCCCTCTCACCCGAAGGACCCCAACCTGTTTGGTGAGTCCCTCAGTGGGGGAGGGGCGCGAGGGCCGCGATGCTAGATAAGTTGCGCGCGCACGCGTCTCCTGGCTCCTGTCCCAGGACACGGGCTCCGCGCGTCTCTTCCGAGGCACTGAACCACTCCTCACTTTACAGGCGGGGAGATTGAGGCCGCGGAGGGCAAGGTCTTGCCCAAGGTCACAGGGCAAGGTGGGCCGAGGAAGGTGCTGAGCCCCGGCCCGACTCCAGTCGCCCTTTCCTGCAAATCCAGGGCGCTCCGCGCGTCTCTGTTACCCTCTGGGTCTAATTATCGCGCGCGGGCGAGTGTCGCCCGGCTGGCGCCTTGGTGCGCGGTGCCCGTGTCACGGCGTGTCTGCAGCCCTCATGTGCCCGCCTTGGGGTGCGCGCCTTGCAGCACCCAGGCGGGAGGGACCTTGGTGCGGCCCAGGGGCCGCGGGACCTGTTGTTGCCAGACTTGGCAGATGGGAACATAGCTCCGCAATTAATTGCCTGTTTGTCTCTTGCTGGGAGGTCGCCCCCTCGGCGACCAGTTGCTCCCGCCCCAGGCCGGCCTCAAGTGTCGCCGCCGTCGCAGGGCTGCAGACTGCTCTGTCCCGGCTCCGGGTCAGCCTGAGACCCCGAGCCAGCTCCGCGGAGCCCCGCTCCCGTGACGCGAGCGCCACCTGCCGGTCGCCGTGCACCCGCCGCCCCGCGGCTTGGGGAGGTGCGCCCCTAGCCCAGAGAGAAGGGGAGTCGCGCTGCCCCGGCAGGGAGGCGCGCCCTGCTCCCCGGAAGAGCCAAGCCGGGCCAGGGGCGACTGAGGGCCGCGACCTCCCCACGCACGCACTGAGACGCTGTAGTGACTCGAGGCGTCTCCGCCCTCTTCTGAACCCCTCAAAGTGAGCCCTTCTTCTTTACGTTTGGCCCACCCCGCTTTCACTTGGAGGGTCTGCCCCGCCCACTCACGCTCTCCCGAAGAAAAGAGGGTGGATCCGGTCTTCACCTCTCGCGGTTTTCCGGGTCGTTAGCGGAAGGGAGGCGGTAAAGGGGGCCGGGGCTCCCCACTCTCACTCCTGCGACCCCACAACCTCCAGCCCGGGGGACCAGAAGCAATTCCCCTCCACATCTCATCCTGGTCCCCGCCTCGAGGAAAACATCCAGATCAGGGTACCACTGCCCTCCTCCCACCCTACCCCACCATTGCGTGCACACAGCGCCGCTCCCGCCCCCCAACTGCTCTCCCCCCCCCGGCCCAGGAAGCGCGGCTCACACACCTATACCACTCACGTACACACACATGCGCGCACACACACTCTCCACATGCACCCCCAGAACACGCCCGCCTCCAGAGTCCTGGTCCTGAGCCCGTGGCCGGCTACACCCGCAACTTCAGTTCTCTGCACCAATGCGGCGCTTCGGGACACGCTCACACTCGGGGTCCGGAGGGGCTGGGACCCATTCCTGCAGAGCCCGCAGGTGCACGTGGGACCTGGAGTCACCTCCGGGACTCGGGATCAGCCAAAGACTCCCCACCCCTGTCTCGCCCACCTCAGCACGGCACAAAGTGGGACCCGGGGTCCCTGCGCTGCGCTCTCCGCCCTCTCCAACTGCTCCTGGCTCGGCCAGGTCGTGTCGCCTTGAAGAAGAGGGAGACGGAGCCGCGCTAATGGGGGGAGTGCGGCAGCGAACCCCCGGCCCAGGTTGCCAGCGCGCTCAGCACCTGCCGCCTCCTTCCCGGCGCCGCACCCGGAGCCGCGGGAGCCGCGCGGCAAAGTGGCGGGACAGCCCTCGCCGCGCGCCGCCCGCAACCTACCTTGCCTCGCCGCCGCAGGAGGTGGCTGGTGAAGCCCAAGATGATCTCCGAGTCTAGGCAGAGAGCCCCCATCTCCAGCAAGCCGGGCGCCTTGCGCGGGGCGCCGCGGGGCGGCTCGGGCGGCCGGGGCAGCGCCATGGAGAGCCAGCGCCGGAGCGGAGCGCA